AGATAAATTATCATTTCATACTTACGTTATAGACATAATGCAAAGAACGGTACTCAATATACTAACTGGCTGATGGATTAATCCAAATGGAAAACTATTTCAGAAGCTAATCCAAAAAGGTTACAGATACACTGATACCTTCCACTGACCATATACAAGTTCTAGAGTGATCGTGCAGTAAATTATCAGAAATATTTTTTTTCGAATTGAACTTTTTCAAATATAGAATAACCTAAGGATTGCACATAATCTAGTAGTTATTCTACAACCTATATCCACACAGTCATGTTCGCAATTGTAACAAAATACGTTGTAGATTACAAACTCAGTAAAGATATAAGTGATGAAGAACTTAGTCAGCATGCTCCAGAATTATTTGAGCTTTTGACAGATAAACTGAAAAGAGACAAGGGCCGTCAGCGCTTCCAAAAAGGATATAATTTTAGTAGAGAGCAGGTATTTGTACTAATCTCTGATCAGAGAATTTGCCAAAGTAGAAGTCGAGTAATCCTCAAAAAAGGAGGGGATGAAGCAAGGGAAGTTAATATATGCCAAATATCTAATATCATCCCAGACGGAGAAACCATCAAAAGTATAGCCCAGCGTATTATTCGAGATAATCTTGGTGAAAAAGAAGTAAAGGCTATAGCCAAGGCTTTAATTGCTCCTAACCTTGTCACCACCACATCTCATCTTAGTAAGCTCCAAAGAGAGTTATGGAAACTCAATGCCCTAGAAAAGATAATCTCTGTTACATTAGACGAAAAAACAACTTGCGCATTTAATAAGATTCAAAAGGAGCATAGGGATCAATGTAAAAATGAAGGAATCGATTTTCTAGACCACTTCTCGTTAGAATCGGTTAAGGAGAGACTCGATTTCTATGATATGTCTAAGACACCCACTGTGTAAGCCCTAGCCAATGTAATGATAATGCTCTGCATCTGTCCCGCTAAAATTAAAGACTTGCACATATCTAATGGAGGTGTAACTGAATACGTAAAAAACTAAGGCTAATAGGATAATCCTCAGATATTTAGATCGTTAGAAAGAGATGAAGAGCAGGCTAAACTTCTCCTTACTTGGATTCAGGATGCAATTTCTTCTAGACAGTTGTGAGATCCAGGAGTGTTAGGAGTTAAATGATTTAATACATTTCTGAAAAAAGAAAGATTTCTTCCTGAAACTGGTAAACCACTCCTCCCTAGCTATTTGCACAAATTAAGGGTAGTATTTGCAGTCATATCGAATAGTGCGAAGAATTTATCAGAAGCTATGACCATCGCCAGTCAAGCCCTTCAACACAGCCCTGATAACCATGCCTCTCCAGCGCAAAACTATACTATAATCAATTTTCAAAAAAGAAGACAGCCTTATGATCAGACAACAGTATTCAAGCTCTTCGATGAAAACTAATCACATATATTAGTTAGAGAATCAGGGTATCATTTTTTAATTTATATTTTTTTTTGTTCGAAGTAAGATATAGCGTATATAATATATCACGAAAATGATAACTGATCAAAAGCATTCATCTGATAGTATACCCACCGAGCAGGAAGTTATCAAATATACAAAGATATTAGCTCAGGCATTTAGACTAAACGAGCAAAATGTAGAAGTATATAGTGCACTTTCTGGAGAAAATAGGGTACTAAAGAAACAATTGGAAGATTATCATTCCCAACACAACATTTTAGAAAAGAGAGTAAAAAGATTAGAGAGAGACGTAAAGTCCTTAGAGACTGAATTAAAAGATTTAGATGAATGTGTGGATAGGAAAACTGTAGTCAACTTAATACAAGAAATAGTTCCCTCGCTAAATATCAAAAAATGTAAGGGTTTCTCCTATTCATCTGAGTCTTCCAAAGAATCTGATTTGGTTAAGATAATTGGAATAAGAGGGGGCTATTCTCATAAGCAACGAAGGAAGGCGTGACCAAGAAAGGTTAAGCGAATGGTAGTTTGAAATGGCCAAGTCAGAAGGATTTGAAAAATCAGACGCTTTGTATGATCGTGAAATTTCCCTAGCTGAAGACACTCAGGGTAAGGAGCTTTGCTATTTTTTCGTTTAAAGATGTAACATATAATATGCACTATGTATGGCGCATTCAAGTATTTTTATTATACCAGAACTATTAGAGCAGATTCTATATTTCCTAGCAGTAGATAAGACACTGTATCTCGCTCTATTTGTATCCTGATTGTGGTACAGATGCAGTGCTCCTATTTTATGGAAACGCATTGAGCTAAAGGAGAATGAAGTAGATGATAGATCTTGATTGGAAAGATTTTTTAAAATAATACGTGGAGGAGGAAGAAGACCAGTTTATAGCTCAAAACTAACTCATCTCAAAATATCAGACTATCGTTCACTTTCAAATAAAAAAATCAAAGGCATTATACATACTTTCCAAAATATAATAGATTTAGATTTTGAAGGAAGTATGAAGCCCGAGTCTATTAGTAAAGTTCTAAAGCTAATAGCAGAATCATACCTAAATTTGAAGTATCTTAATATATCTGCTTTATGCAGTAATGGATTTGGAAATGATAAAGGCCTATGTGCAATCGCAAATTCATGTTATAAAATAGAATGTCTAAATATTTCTAGACATACAGAGTTTTCTGAAACATCAATTTGTAATGTTATTCGTTCTTGCCTAAGGCTTCAGCATTTTGACCTCAGCTTTTGTAAAATTACCGATATAACTATCAAAGAAATTGCTGGTTCGTGTCTTAATATAAAGTATCTCAATTTGGAAGGGTGTAATAATATTAGCAAAGAAGCTGTAGATCAGCTCGTTTTACTTAATCTGAATATTCATATTGATAATTTTGTGAAAATTATAATGCCTCCTGATCTCATTGGGATGGTTAGAAATCATTTTACATAGAATAATGTTGTGAAAATTATAACACCTCCTGATCTTATTTGGATGGTTAGAAATCATCTTACACAGAATAATGTTGCTAGTAGAGAGATTTTAGTTCAGAGACTTCAGAGACTTTTAGATCTAAGTATGCATAACAATTAGAATTTGGCACAGGCTTTAGATCTAATAATTCAGCACCCTATTAGATGATCACTAAGGAATTATTTTAATAGAATACTAGCTGATCAAGCAGAATAGTGGTACTCTACTAATCTAATTAACCTGGATCAGTGATCAGCACAGAAGATTTTTTGTTGGGTTATACCCTATGCGACAAAAAATATAGATTAGCTAACCTGTTCTAGACATAGGTATTGGTCTGTACTAGCCAAATTTTTTACGAAAATTTCGTGCAATTATTGAGGATTGACCTTCGGGAATAACGGTAGTCCCTCTCCAGTAAAATAAAACATTTTCACTTCCTTATCAATGAATCTCTGTATTAACACACTTGGGACATCTTCTAAAGGACTGTGATATTCCTCAAACTTTTGGAGATATACTCTTGCATTTTTATCGGCCTCTTCTGCCATTTCTTGGTTAGTGTAGCCAACAATATTGAGTTTCTCCTGAATTGCTATTATATCCTCTTCCAAATACATAAGCAAATTAAATATCTTCCCCAATGAAATATCTGTAGAAGCTTCATCGCTTTGATATTCTACCTCTAAAACAGGATTACCATCAATGTTGAGATTCTCCTGTATTGCTATTAAATTCCCTACCAATTCTAACAACAGCTCATATGAATCAGCAAGTGTTTTCCCCATGAGCTTAGAATCTGAAGGCACTGCCAACTGATTTGCATTCCCACCAATACCAAGTTTTTCCTGAATAGCTATCATATCCTTCTTCTTATATAAAAACAGTCCATATAATAGAGCAAGTGTTTCAGGATTATTTGCCATGATTACTATAATAAAGTAATATATTTAATGTGGAAAATTTTGAGTCTGGAATACTGATCATTAACCGGAGCAATGATCATCAGCTCGGAAGAATTTGCTGAGCCATAGATTGTGCAATAATAACCTTATTTTTTCGATTGAAAATTCTTCTAATCATGTTTATAGTAATAATGAGCCTCTCCGTTTAAGATACTTTGACTAGTCCAGAGCGTGTTGAGAGGTGATCATTAATTAGATTTTTTTTCGTTTGAAGATTAAAGAAAACTAGCTAATCAAGCAGAATGCTAGTACTTTACCGATCTAACTAATCTGAATCAGCCGAATAATCTACATATTTTTATCGATTTTGAATACTAACATTTGATATTATACAGACATAGAATCCAAAATAGATCTATTAAAGCAACGTATTACCGAGCTTGAGGCTGAGCTTGAGGCCAAGAATTCTGAGATTTCTGAACTTAGAAAGAAGCTTGCTGAATTTGAAGCTAAAGATGTCGAAATTCACGAGCTTAGAAAGAAGGTTGCCGAGGTTGAGGCCAAAAATGTAGAGCTTATAAAGCAGATGATGGAAGAGAATAACAGACGCGATGCTAGAATTGAGGTTCTAGAGAAAAATAAGACAGATACCATTGATAGAGTTCCTACATTGGAACAGAAGCATTCGCAAGATGATATTACTAATAACAACTCTTCTAACTTTGCTTTAGCGTCTTCGGCCAATTCAGATACAAACACTCATAGAAAATCATCACAGGAGAAAGAGATGGATATATTCTTGGTCAATGAAAATAAGAAAAGTATTGGTGAAGATATTAGGTGATATAATAAGGAGAAGAAACTCCAGCGTGAATCAACTGTCATCTCTGATACTGTGTATGCATCAGAAACTGTTAGCAATGAGGAGTCAGACGAGCCAGAGATTAATAATATTACCAATTGTATTCCCTCAGAATTATCTCATAGAATAGAGGTGGTCGCTCCGCAAACGGTCAACGTAGATATCTCTCAGGATATAAAAGTTGGACTTTCTGAAAATTCTGAATTATCACGTGATTCAAAAACAATGAACAGTGTTTACGGTTTTTCTGAAAATTTGAATTTGTCACAAGATTCTTCTGATAGATTATCAGGTCTCAAAAGGGAGCCATCAACTATGGATGCCGTAAGTGGTCAGACTTATCCTACTGGGGGTCTTTCCTCAAAGATAGTTACTGAATTCGTGCAAGGTTTGTTAGAAGAGCTGTTGTCTTCCAACAACTGACTTCTGGAACATATAAAATTTTCTTCTCCAAAAACCATAGTTCTTGAATCAATAAGTATTAAGAGACTTGCCAATTCATTCTGCCAAGCAAATGGTGCAAGAAATAAATCAATCATAGCGAAGCAAACAGAGATTTCATTATGGTGGTGCTATTCTGAAAAATTTGAAGACAAGGTTGTGAAGCTTAGGTCTGAAAATAAAAAGCTTACGGATAAGACTGCAAGATCACAAATTTACGCTGAAATGAAACCATATCTTACAGGTATTTCCAATGGATATTTACGAAAGATAACAAGCAAAGCAAGAAAAATCAATAAGCTATTTGATTATGAATATGATCCTGTAACTCTGCAAAAGATAAAAGGTATAAGCGGACATATGATTCAGCGGGTCACTTATAGTGTTGATAGTATTTCAAGACTCACTAATCCTCAAATCGAATACATCATAGAACAGGTTAAATTGAAGACAATCACTAATTCTGTGAATGAAATCTCTGAGTCTGTGGCTACTACTTCAGCTCATGACTCTAACTCGGGTGATAATTTTAGAAATACATTAGATGATACAGATTATTTTAAGTCAGACGATGAATCTGAATCTGATGCTAATAAATCTGATTCTGACGTATATTTCAAATCCGATGACTCTGACTCCAATGATGAGTATGATCACGAACTTCATGAAAGTCTTACGCGTGAAGAAATGGCAAGAATAGCGAAGTTAGAGAAAAAAATACTAACTAAGCCTGAGGTAAATGATGACGATTTCGATCAAATACTCTCAGAAGCCATCGAAGAAGAATTGGCATATTTTGATGATCCTGCACCTCAGTCAGTGAAAAAAATGAATAGAGAAGCTATTTCGCAATCAGGGGGAGAAACAAACGAAAGTAAGTTAGACAATGACTCTGATTCTGATGATTTTGAAGAAGAGATGCCAGATAAATTGGACGATGATAAGTATAATGGATACGGTAGATATGATGAATATGGTGGTCATGATAGAGGTTATTATTATTGTGATGGAAGATATGAAAGGAAAGTCTCGTCAATGATGAGTCCTATTATATCTCCAGTATCCGCTTAGGAGAATTTTTAGGTGGATTGTAGACTGAATTATCATATAGGTTTATTTTTTTTTCAGTCAAATTGAGATCAGCAAATTAATAGACATTAGGATTGCCATAATTGTTCTATATTTTGCGACAATCGTAGTATCTGGGAGCAACAGTTCCGCAGTATTACATTTTGCAAAATCGATCTAACTTCTAACCCATGATGTAGCACAGTAAATTTTCCCAACTGTCAAAGCTATTCTGGCTTCCTGTGATCCAAATACTTCACACCTTGGCTTGTTTTGAAGCTCTCGATGTCCTGCATCTGGTCGAATTAATTTGGGATTTCTACAATATGTGAACCACGTTTCGTAAGCGGTTGATGTTTCAATCCTTAAATAGTACTAATAATACATTTTGGGATACACTGGGTAGCTATGAATTCTTACATAACAACCTACTAATTTCTCACCTCCTTTAGGTTTCCAGAACCAGAAACTAGTATTTTGTAGGTTGCCAAGTCACCAGTATTTCACACGCCACTTTGACCGCCTCCACAAGATTCTTTCATAGTTATATCCAAAATAATGCGCAGTAATATTATGCTAACTGTGACATGTATCACAGGAACAAGTAACTGCACATAATAATTTATTTTCAAACATTCTCGCACATTCTCAAAAATATGTATAACCCCTTGATGATCTTACATATGAATAGCGTTAAAACCGTTGATCAGATTTTCATGATACGATCATATTAATATAATTTTTCCCTAAGCATACTCCAAGATCGATCCTGCAAATTATATAAAAAGGTGATGTCCTGTTAGTGAATCCTTTTATCTGCCTCATTATTATCTAAAAAAATTCCTATTCGATCCATCAATAAACACATTTTTCAATAAAATATACTGCGCATCCCTTTATCTAAGCATGTTCAGTTTAATATTATTCAACTCTTCAGAAACTATGTCATTTTTGGAATTATCTATCATTTTTTTGTTCATTAGTCCAGCGATATTCGTAGGAGTCGTCACCATGTATGGAAATCTAAAACAAAAGATCTCCAATGAACTTTCCGCACATGTCATCAAAATTCTCATCGATCTTGGTATACTAAATAATATACCAGAAATCGGAAAGAGGTCACTTCATGACCAGATCTTTACTGAACTTAATGATAAATTTGACACATATATTTCTGATATTAATTCTACTTTCACTGCAGAACTTGGAAGAATCAATAATAATCTTAATAATAAACTTACCACAGAAGCTGAAAAAAATAAGGCACGTGATGATGACTTCACTAGGGAGGCGCAGAAAATTTTTTCAATGGTCAATAACGTAACTACGAAAGTTAATAATATCGAAGAAGCCTGCCGTAATGAATTTAGCAGAATTAATGGTTTTATCGAAAATCTCCAAAACGAAATAAATCAACATTATGCAATAGTTCAAAGATCCAATTTTGACTAACAAAGTGTGTCCAATGAATCTGAAGCTAATTCGACCAATGAATCTGAAACCAATTCGTCTCCAAGCTCTTCTTCTGGAAGTTCCAATTT